GCATCTTGTACAGCAATTAACCACTAAGAAGAATATATGCAGTGTATTATTTGTTGAAACTGTACTTTCGATTTGATTTGAAACTGTCTCATTGCTATATATTTATCAATAAAACTTTGAAAAGAAAAAAAGATGATAAAAAATGAGCAGTCAAGAGAATGATTGCTATGTGTACTAGGTGATGTGTAGAAGAATATTTATTTATTTATTTATTTAGTTAGTTAGTTATTTTTGCGGAACCGGGGATTGACCTCAGACCCTTGCGCTTGCCAGGGAAGTGCTTATTCCACTGAGCCATCTCCCCGGCCCCTAGAAGAATATTTAGAATAGTGCTATAATTATAAAAAAAAATCCCTCGAAACTCAGCAACAAGCTTAGATATACAATAGCAAAATGGATAAAACATTGTAGTGATATCTTACAACGGAATATTGTTACTTAACTGAAATGAATTCCATGAACATAGATTTATGTGGATAACCTTTAATGAGAATTGCCTAAAAATGTGCAAAACCTGAACACCAGCCAAATAGCTCAGTGGGTTAAAGTGCCTGTAAGCATGCGCAGGGGCTGGGGGTTTGATCCCCTCGTCTGCCATTGCCGGCCCTGCCCACAGGGCGTGCTGAGAGGTCAACTAAGACTGGGCGTGGTGGTGTGCACCTGTAATCTGAGATCTTAAGAGGCTGCAAACAGGTGGATCACTATGAGTCTGATCTAGTAGTGAGACCCTGAATGCTGTGTAGACTGTTCCCTAAAAAAAAAAAAAAAAGTGCAAAACCAAATAGCATATTACTTATGGATACAGAAATATATATTAAACCTAAAACACTGGAGAGGAGATGGGAAGCCTAAAATTCAGACAAATAATTATGTATAAATAGGGGAAAGGAGATACAAATAGGGTGGAACATGAGTTATTTGAATTTTTTGTTTGGGTTTTGTTATGAATTAAATTATGAATGTTTCTTATATTCCTTTTCCTTATACCTCATGTGTATTTTATTCATCTGTGGCTCTTGAACATTTAATATAAGCAAAACAAAAATATCCAATTTTTTGAGTATTTTTATTGGTCAAATGATTCCTTTGTGTTATGCTTGTGTCTAGTCATCCCTCCAAAGCCTCATGGGGTCATGGGGCAGCTTCTGGAGTTGCGATTGAGTTTTGATCCAATGCTGCGATTATGGGTGTGAGTGTCCTGGGGCAGATACTCTGAATTACAGTGTAAGAGGGGAGAGAGGCTGGCTAACTGCCTGAGCTGCTGCCACTGCCTTTGCTCTCTGCTGCCACTCCCAACCTCTCTGAAAGGTTGCTCTCTGCCATGTGCCTCTCCACCTTGGAGCCAGCTGAGTCTGGGCTGAAATCTCCAGTAACTGTGAGCTAAATAATCTTTTCTTTACTTCATTTTGAGTGTCAGATATTTGTCCCAGCAATGAGAGAAGAGTAACTGAGACACCTTGATTGATCATCTTTACTGTGGAGATATATCTTGGTTAATTACCTTTGTCAGCCCCCTGTTCACTCTCCTGAGGGTTGTGGTTGTTGTAGAATTGAGGGTGCATTTATTTCACTGTAAACTTAGGGCCTCAGTGAGATAGAAAGCAATCTACTGATATTACTGATCCCATAGGGCCTCCTCCAGACCTCTAACACTGTGCAATTCCAAGACCATCTCTTTAACCAAATTCATGGCTTGTTCTATTGAATTCATAATCACTGGCTATTAAACAGTGAGAGAAATCAGCAGTTGTCAAATGTGAAGAGTAGGGATTCTGGTTTATTTTCTGTAATTTTATTGTTTCACAGATTGATCAACTGAAGCAGGAACTTTCCAAGAAGGAGTCAGAACTTCTTGCCTTACAAACAAAGCTTGAAACTCTTAGCAATCAAAATTCAGATTGCAAGCAACACATTGAAGTGCTTAAAGAGTCGCTTACTGCCAAAGAACAGAGGGCTGCCATCCTTCAGACTGAGGTAAGGCATTGTCCCAAGATTCTGGACAGCAGATATGTTGCACTGATAGAAACTGTTCCACCTGCACAGCTTTCTTCAGAAGACCTCTTATCAAAATTTTTGGAGCCAGATGTGTTTTGGAATCCACAGTTTTGGGATTTGGGAAAGATGGGATTATTTGCGGATGTCACAGTTTTTACAGCACTCCTTGTGAGGGTGCAGCTGTACCCCAAAGGCAAAAACATGACTATGTCTGCACAAAAGTATTACCCCACTAATGATTTTAAACAAGAAAGTTATATATTTATTTCCTTTCAGCTGACATTACAACATGTTACCAAAGGAATTTGAGTCACACTTGGACCCCCTGCCCATTTTTTAGGGACTTTTGGATTTGCAAATCACAAAGTTTGGATCTGGGATGATTTAATTTTATCAAAAATGAAAAATAATTAGAATGGCCAGTACCTAACCTAACTTTGCTGTGTATTATCTGTCTAGGTCTGTATGCTGGCGTTCTTAGTTTCAATAGTTTCGGGGTACTATCTTCAATGTTTAAGATTCTTTTACTCTGAAAAGTTGGTATTATGTCAATGTCTTTAAGAAAATACTGTCTTGTTATTTTTTATTCATTCTTAGAACAAAATATATTTTTATTGGATGATCTTGCTTTTCCTTATTGAATTATATCTTTCAGTCAGTAAGAAATGCAAAACACAAGCAAGTTGTTGCATAAAGAAAATAGTTGTCAAAAACAGTGGTAAATAGAGCAAAGAATGTTCTGAGTGTCCCTGATTTTTGTGTTGAGGCAGCGTGGTAGGTGGAGTACTTTTTAGAGAAGGCCATTTTATTGACATGGATGTTCTCTCTTGAAGTCTCTTAACCACATCTTTGCATGTAAATACTTCAGGGTCTGCAGAGAGGTTTGGACTTGCCTTAGTGGTTAATGGAACTGTTTAATAGGTCTGTGCTCTAAGTCATGGTGCTGAACAGTGTCTGGCAGGAAAAGGAACCAGGTTTCACTTTGGAAAGTTATTAGGCCTGATTCAGTCCTTACATGCTTGAGCATTAGCTGGTAGGTAGCTGCTACACCGCTGCAAACCCAAATTACCATTTTGGCCTCAGTGATGTACCTGTTTCATAATTGAGAAACACTGTTTTCAGAGATGTGTAGCTCTGTTGTGAATGTTAAAGCATAGACATTTTCTTTATTAAAGCAAAAATTTAATCTTTGCCATCACTTGGGGGATGGCTTTTCCATCTCCTTTGAGGAGGCAAAGGTGAATAGTGTCTAGAACTGTGCTGTGGAATACTGTAGATCTTAACCTTGTGTGGCTATTTACATTTAAGTTAATTGAAATTGAACGACATTTGAAAATGTACCTTAGTCAGATGAACTATGTTTCAATAATTTTATCATTAGTCACATGTGGCTATTGGTACTCTTTTAGACAGCACAGCTGTAGAACATTTCCACATCTACACTTGTCTAGCATAATCAACAAATGGTGACTTGCTGGCCAAATATGGCCTCTACCTGACTTTGAACATAAAGTATTATTAGAGGACAGCCACTCCTATTTATCTGTGTTTCTTCCAGCTATTTTCTTGGTGCCACAATAGTGTTTTGGTGCTCACCCTACTGGTGAGCTGTCAGGACAGAGATTGCATGACATACAAAGTTGATAATTCTTTATGGTCTGACCTTTTATAGCATTGTGATTTTGCAGCAAGGGGGTTGAGTGGGCATGGGAATGCTCAGCTAGTACTCTGACTCTGAATGGGGCTAGCTAGTTTGCTGACCTCTATTTGTGACTATAAATTTTCCTTCATAAAATAACTGATTGTGCTGATATTTTGTCTTAAGTTATCAACAATATCAGGATTCCTAATAAAATCAGTGTAATTGTGCCACTATGTGATGGTTAGGAGGAAATCTGACCAGCAAGCAGTCTGCCTGGCCACACAGGTAATCTGGTTTCTTGATGGTTCCTCTCCAGAGCCAAGAATGAGAATAGTCAATTTAGGAAAGCTTTATTTCTCACTCCCTTACATGGCAGATCTGCAGCTCCTGGCTTTTTTTCCTTTTCTTATTTCCCTCCCTATATTTTACATTTTTCAAATTAATATAGTTCAATTTAGGCTTCAATATAGTTCATGAGAAAGACAATGGTGACATTATATAGACAGCTTCTGGCCCATGTTCAATAATTAAAATTATCCAATGAGGAGATGATGCTTTGAAGTAGAAAAAAATGATTCTCCATGTGCAGAGAGAATGAAATGATTTTCTAAGTTTTCTGCTTTGAAGTAGGGAGTGTGAGAAGAATGATTTTATCAGCAGGAAATGTCTGAGGAATTTACTTTTGGTTTTTTACTTTTATTAAGATCTCTTTGTATACAGAAATAGAACAGAAAATTAGCCTACTGATGTCAGTCTCTTAGAGAAAGCAATTTAGGTCAAAATTAGCTGTAATGATTGGATGATTTTTGGCAACAGATTAGAGCGCAGTAGTTTAAAGTGATTTTCTCACATTAAATAAGAGTCTCCTTACCTGACCTGTGGTGGATTAGTGGATGAGTATTCAGTATAAGAGATTTGCTGTGTCCTAACAAGATACCTGAACTGAAATGCACACATAAAACATGGGGCTCATTGTCAGAAGAAGGTATATGTGATAGCTTCTTGCAGTTTGATTCCGGGCCTTTTTCTCACCACTCTGATAAAGTCAGCAAAGAGCCCTCTGTAGAACAGGAAGACTCTTGCTAGTTTCTCTGTGATATTTTTGCCATCAACTGGCTTTGGCTACTTTTTTAGAATATTGTCTAAGTGACAGATGTCATTCCTGTAAGGTTTTTGCTACTAGGGAATATTTCCTGGGAGGTGGTAGGATGAAGGGTGGAGTGAGAGAGAGGGGAGGTAAGTTGTCTTGGTTTCTGGATATGTGTCTTGGATCTGGGTTGGTTTGTTTAGACTTATACAAATGCCCACTCTTTGACATGTGTGCAGTAAATCAATGGACTGGTAATTACACACACATGCACAGATACATCACATAGCTCTTAACATAACATTTTTCTTTTTTCAAATAGCTTCAAAGGACCCCAAGGCTAAATTTCTTACTTTGGTACTTCCTCTGACGTTTTCTATACACTAGTTTACTCCATCGACACATGAATTCCACCAAAATAGGGATAAGAAAGATTTTTTTTTGAATACCTTGATTTTTCCAGACTTCAATAAATAATGATCAATATAACCAGAAATTAGGAAGGATAAGGTCATAGCATTAATTCAGGCATCTGAAGTAAAATATTAAAAGAGCACAGCATCCAGAAATGGGGGGTGTGCAGAGGTGTCAGCCTCCCTACTGTGTAACTGTGTGGTTAGGCCAAATGTGAGCTGCTCTGCGCCTTAGTGTTTAAACTGACTGTCATTGTGGAAGCTTGACACTTGGGAGTGAAAAAGGTCTTGTGTATAGGAGAGGGTGACTCCTAAATTATATGCATTGTTGGTGCTATTTTTATTATTGATATTACTGTTGTTTTTCAGTGTTATTTGGGTGAATCTAAATACCCACTTCTCATCTGTTGTGTTTTAACTTTATGAATCTCTTGAATCTCTGCTACATTTATTTATAGAACCTAGACTCTCATATTTAAATTGAGTCACTTTGTAATGTTCTAGAATAATACAGAGATAAAAGTACTATTAAAGGGACCATCTGTTTTGTTATTTTCCAACTTAAAGGGATTTGTTACTGTCTTTTTGCAAGTGCATTTTTCCCTCATGCAGCTTGATCTCCAAGCTTCCAGGCATGACAATTCTTGTGTTTGTTTCTTAGAAGATGGGTTATATGACTGAGCTATACTGGTCTTGCTTTCTTACTAATTCCTATCCCAGACAGGTCAGAGAATGGTTCTACTTGTGTAAGAGTGAATACTCAGGCACATTTTAATTAACAAAGTAGGTAAGGGTTTCCTGTTCATAAGGCAAGGGACAACATGTGCAGATGAGGGTACTATAGCTCCACAGGCGGAATCTGTGATTTTTTTTTAAACTGTAACTCAAGCAAATGAGAATCTTATGTAACCTATAGGTCCTCT